TGGTGCTGGAGCAGAAAATAAATAATAAGTCCAGATACACATGTTTAAAACAACTCTAAAAACTCTAAACTCTAAAAAATACTTCTGTAGGCCTTTATCTTTAAAACCCTCCTGTTGTCTTATAATTCTGCATACACCATTCATCTTTCAGGTCAAAAATGATTCTTCACTAAACCTCCAAAATACAGCAGATCAATTTAATCTCAATTCTCAGATCTATTCTGCATGAAGAAACGGCCTCATTTTTTAAGCTGCCGTGTCAATAATTTCTATTTTTACGTGCAAAGCTGCGCATCAATGTCAGATCCAAAGCAGTGGACCAATCAGAAAGCGACACAGTAGACGGACCTGATGCCTGCAGATCTCTTGACCACCAGGAAGACGTCGACGGCGTAGCAGAAAGTCCACCAGAAGGAGGCGCTAAAGAACAGCTGTATCCACATCTGCACAACAACACACAGTAAGAGTGTATTAATCATACTGCAATGCAAGTACATTATTGGCATGTTTAAAGGGCACCTATGATGGAAATCCTCTTCTGTAAGCTGTTTGGACAGAAACGTGTGGAGTATAGTGTCCACAGTAATATTGGAGTGATAGAAACACAGCAAGTCTCTATTTTTAAATGTCCTGATGTTAAAATAGGATCTAAATCCCAGTGATTTTAGGCTGAAACATGATGTAGGAGTGCAGTTTTCTCCGCCCACCGAATTGATTGACGGACTTGTACTAACATGTCTCCATAGTAACGCCTATAAACATCGCCACAAAATAGGATTTGCAAAGAAAGTAAATCCATATGATGGCTAGAATGAGGAATTCTTCTTCTTCCTGTTTTATGGTGTTCGACAACAAACTTTTTGGTGCGTTAGTTTGTCCGGTCAGCTCATCGTGTGCGTCGGTGAACTTCAGATGCAGAGAGGAGGAGTTGACAAAGGCGTCTGGGTTCGAGTCCGGGGAAGAGCAGTTCCAGAAACCAAGTAAGACAAAAAAAAGAATCCGAAAAATAAAGCAAACGAGTTCATAACAGGGTGAGAATGTGGTGAAATCCGAAAACGTGGTAAAAAAAAAAACAGACGAGGGCTTTTCTTTTTCTAGACGGCTTTTCTAATGCCTAGTGCACACTAGAGGATTTTAAGTCTGATTTGAGCCCGATTTGGAAGTTAACGAGCTCGCCGACAGATCAGGCTGTGATCGGGACGAAATCTGAGGGTGCTCGGCGCTCGGCGCTCGGCGCTCGCCGCTCTTTATGTGTGAACTACTGAACAACGCATCAACGAGGCTCGCTGACGCGTTGCCGACACCTCGCAGACGGAAATCCAACATTCAGCATGCTAAATATTCCAGAGCAGTCGCCGACTCAACCCCACGTGTGGTCAGATGTAGTGACGAGCTGCAGCCAATGAGAGAGCAGATCAGCATGAGCTGAATGCCTGTGTGTTCAGGAGCTCGGCAGAAACATCTGTGATTGGTCAGAATGGGCATCGGTGCACTCGCTTCATTCTGCGTTAGCACAGACATGAGAGTAGACTATATTAATAGTGGAACTAGAATTCTGTAACTATTAGAATTACCATCCTGCTCATTCTGACCGTTCTCATATGAAACGCCATACTGTCACAACATATTTACATTCAAAGCTATTATTGAGATATTAAAATTAAGCTTTGAATGTCTGGCATCATATTTAATGACACTATTACCCTAAAAATATAATATTTTTTTGTAATACAGCCTATAAATATGTAGTTAAGATACTAGAACACTTAAAGGTCTTGGCTTTCATTTTCACTTTAACAGAACAGAATCTGCTGTTTTGAAGATATCTAAAGCAAATTGATGTTTTTGCCATCAGAAAGTTTTGTTTATGTTAGCAGGAAGTTGCCAGGCAAGGAAATGCACACATATTTAAAGTCACAGTGAAAAGTATCAGACATGCATGCAGTCAGTTTGACCAATATGGTAATTTAAGGCAGAAATGCTCAGTTCTTTACTGTTTTGAAATAAAAAAAATAACAATGTCAGAAAGAAATACACTGTTAGTTAGAAAACGGCAGGGTGTTATAAATATGTTAGTTTTATTTCAAAGAGTTATAAAATTACAAAAATTAAAAACTCTCTGTGTATCTCTCCACTGGAACCTTGCAGATGAGTGATTAATGCGCTGATAAATCAGCTGATTTGATGATGTTTTTAAATGCTTTCTCCAAAGCTTGAAACGCTGTCAGTGATGTCATCAGCACACAAGCAGCCAATAGTGTTCAGCTTTTTCTGACGACTCCTCCCTCAAATTTTCATTGGCTGTGGTTTGGTAGCTTGAATGAGCTGATGGGGAATGAGTTGTTGTCAGATCATGTAGTGTGTGACCCCCCTCTTGTGGATCGTTCACAGAGTGTTGCGTAGTGTGAACACCACAGAGAATAAAAGACACAAAGTCAGGTCATGTAGTGTGAACGGCACAGCGATCTGCTGATGTTTAAAATCCTGTAGTGTGAACTAGGCTTAAATTGTTGCTCGGGTTTTGGGAATTGAGCAGGCGGGCGGGTCAATCGGTAAAACTGGTTGGGTTCAGGGAGGGAGGAGAGTGGGTCAGCCGATTGGCCGGTCGCGCAGTCAATCATTCGGTCAGTCAGACAGCGGCCTCTGGTGGGTTGACACGAGAACAGCGCGGGCGTGAACGGCACTCACGTGAGATGTTCGAGATACGAAAAAGCGCACACAGCAGCCTCTCGCGGATTCGCGAAAACAAAAACTGCACAAATACGTACCTCCCGGAACGTATTTCGCGGTCTCCAGAAACGTCCGCTGGACTACGTTTTCAGATTGAGCCTGGGTTGTGGAAAGATGACTGAGGGAGAGGAGTTATTTCTGAAGCAGGATTCCTCGTTACCATACTGCGAGAAGTACATGTTAAGATGCAATAACTTAATAACTTATATATATATATATATATATATATATATATATTATTCCAAAAAAAATCCCTTTACTATAGTATTTTAAATGTGTAAGACCTGGTTTTATTGGAGTTTTGTTTTAGCTGTTATACTATATTGTGTTTCTGTTTAGTACAGCATACTGTTTACAGTAAATAACTGAACTGAACTATTCTGCCTCAGATGTTTCATTGACAGTTTTATTGATCACTAAGATCAATGATTGACTTGGACTTAAGTTGCTTCGATTTCAAAATAAAAAATGCAAAAATAGCTTGGATTTGGCTAAGCTACTTTTGCCTTGTAGCTTTTAGCTTAGCTTGCTACATTTCCCAGGGGCTAGCTTTTAGTGTAGTTAAGCTACATTTTGAGTAGAGTAGCTAATAGCTTAGCTCACTACATTTTCCAAGTAGCTCGCCCAACACTGCTCACAGCCATTGCTATTGCTGCTTTGATCAAGTGTCTAATCCGTATGCATTTTTACAATTTTATTCATACAAGTTAGTACGATTCACTCATCCCCCAATGGCAGCTGGGTTTAGGGGCAAAGTTACATATTCATAAGAGTTCGCATAAATTCTTATGAATTAGCTACTAAACTGACCGCCATTTTTGATTTTGTTTGTGTCTACAAAAGTATGAATGTGCCAGATCAAACACACTGCTGCTGTTTCTCTCTTTGGCTCTCGGCGAAGGCGGTCGCTCTTCCTCCCGCTCCGTCCCATATCTCTCCTTGCTGGCTCCTCTCATCTGTCTCATCTTATTCTATCTCTGAAGCTCTCCTTGTCCTGCTATCCAAACGAAAAGGGCATTATGGATTTGATCAACTGATCCCTGAATGCCGGGAGACGAGTGATGGACATTAGATATCTGTGAAACTGGCAGATATTGACCACAAGTTGGAGTCCCCGGATAACGAGATTAGGAGACGCTCTGAAATTCCTGCTTCTTGCCAAGGACACCTGTTGGACTATACAGGCTAACACACACACACACACACACACACACACACACACAAAACATATCTACAGATAAACATTCACCACCGATCCACTCATCCAAATTCCTTCATGTGCTTTTACCCACAAGGGCCGTGGGCAGGACTGCGACTGGCACCTCCATGGCTGCTGGACCAGTTGGCTGCCCGCGCTCATCGGATTGTTTCCATATCACCTGTTCCCATCCCCTGTGTCAATGTTGTGTCCTGCCAGTGTGCTTATGCCAAGATCGGGCTGTGTTTTTCTCCCAATTTCAATTTCACTATACGAAAGTGTATGTGACAAAGGCTTGATTTTATTTGATTGTATGTGTGTGTGTGTGTGTGTGTGTGTATGTGTGTGTGTGTGTGTGTTTCTCACCGCACTGCCAACACAGAAAATCTGCGGCCACACCGAGCTGCTGTTTCCATCTGAGATCTCCGAGACGAGGTTTGGCAAACCGATCCACAGCGAGGAGCGGATGATGATCCCTGCGCACATTCACCAACACACACGTCACAACACATGCTAACCGATTAAAACTGTTGTAGTTTTGAAACAAAATGGTTTGAGAACTGTAAACGCATATATTTGTCCCCAATTTCTGTTTAACTGAGAGATTTTAAAACTCATTTATAGACATAATATTTTGTTCTGTAGACCAGTGGTTCTCAAACTGTGGTACTTGTACCACTAATGGTACGCGGGCTTCCTTTTAGTGGTACGCGGAGAAATCATATGTACATGCAAGATATATTTTAAAAAGTATCAAAAATAATTTATATATGAATATGATGACATATAGCCCATATTTACAGGTTTTGATAAATAGGCTAATATATATTAATACTTTACATTTAAGTACAGGAGTTTTTGTTCCTCATTTTTAACTTTTAAAAGCAAATTTAAATGTAAATGTTGAAGTTTTTATTTTTTATTTTATTTCTTACATATAAGAACAGTACAGTGTTAATGTTCAAACTATTTATAATGCTTAAAGTGGCTGACAATAATAAATATTCTTAATAATGGGAATTAATCTGCCTGGTTTTTGAACTGTACAGAGCTTTAGCTGCCTTTCTGGGCTTACTACGCTACTGTATTTTAATACTGCTCATTATAGTGGTACTAGGACAGACCATTTTTTTCTGAGGTGGTACTTGATGACAATCTGAAACTAATATTGCTGAAGGGGTGAATAATATTGACCTTAAAATGGCTTTAAAACAATTAAGAACTGCTTTTATTCTAGCTGAAATAAAACAAATATGACTTTCTCCAGAAGAACAAATATTAGAGGAAATACTGAGAAATTTCTGAATCTGTCCAACATCATTTGGGAAATATTTGAAAAAAATAAAATAAAATAAAATAAATCAGAATGATTCTGACTTATTTAGAGTTATCATATTTGCTGTGAATGACCCTTAACAATTTCCTCCAGATGTTAGGAGTGTTTAACAGAACTGTAACGGTGTGTGAGGAATCTGTCCTAGTTTTCTGGAGTCCTCATCAGATCTGCATGAACAATGGTCTGTATGTTCTCTGATGAAGCAAACACTCTGGAAATAACATGTGTGGTTTTACACGTATTAAACATCAGCAGAACATTCCGTTATTTCACTGAAACGCCACTGAGTTCAGGACGACTGACGTGCAAAAACACAAATACAGCTGAGAATACAGGCTCTGTCTAAATGTGGGATTTACATGTGTAATGCAGTTATCATTAGCAGTTGTCATTATCAGCATATGACTAATGTTTACAGTACACCATATAGGGCAAAGGTGTCAAACGTACGGCCCGCGGGCTGGATCAGGCCCGCAAACAAATTTAATGCGTCCCGCGAGATGATTCTGTAAAGTATAAAACTGAGCTGCAATAATTCAATAAAAGACACTGCTGTTCCAGTTGAGTCCACTGGATGGCGCAGTAGCACACTGTTATTTCATCCAATCTAGAAGACGGAATCAGCGTCAGCAGGGCCGGAGCAAGCTGAACTGCCGCTCTAGGCAGAGGAGGATCACGCCGCCCTCAACCCCAATGTGAAAGTGACCGGTTCTGAAAATGAAGTGAAGTGTCGCGGACCTCTTTTCTGCCGCCCTATGCGTGGATATAACTGAGGACGCGCAGGTGCTGAGGGTGGGACAAGGTGTCGCGGACACCGCGCTCTCTATTCTGCCGCCCTATGTGCGGATATAACTGAAGACACGCGGGTGCTGATGGAGGTGACGCTGACGCCGCCCTCTCTATTCTGTCGTCTATACGCGAATATATCTGAGGACGCGGGTGGTGAGGGAGGTGTCGCGGACATAACTGAGGATGCGGGTGGTAAGAGAGGTATCGCGGACGCCGCCCTCTCTATACTGCCGCCCTAGGCGGCCGCCTAGGTCGCCTCAATGGACGCGCCGGCCCTGAGCGTCAGTTTCACAGCCTTTTCAGAGAGAAAGACCTCAGCGATACCGTCATACCACACTGAGGTGATCTCACGAGGAAACGTAACTATTTTACATTTGGTCAGTTTAGTGGCTATTTGCACGAGTTCAGTCGTATGAAAATGTACCATTTGAAAAATGAGGCGTGGCACCCAACCACACCCCTAAACCCAACCGTCATTGGTGGACAAGCAAATAGTACTATATAGTACGAATGAGATTGTACGAATTCATACAATATAGCCGCTTTGTTTGTAATCCTATATGCTCATAAAGCTCACGCATAAGCACTTGAATGACATCCTGAAGTTGACGGCCACTCAGGATGTGACGCCTAATATTAAAGCGCTGGTGAAAGCTGAAAGATGCCAGGTATCAGGAGTCAAATAAATCATGCAACCTCACTTCAAGTGCTGCATGAGACACCCAGATATAGTTCAGCAGACATCCCAAGTCTACTGGAAGTTCCGGGAGTCTCCTGCATATGCAGGGCCGGAGCAAGCTGAACTGCCGCTCTAGGCAGAGGATGATCACGCCGCCCTCAACCCCAATGTGAAAACGAAAGTGACCGGTTATGAAAATGAAGCGAGGTGTCGCGGTCCTCTTTTCCTGCGCTCTATGCGCGGATATAACTGAGTGTGCTGAGGGAGGGAGGGAGGGAGGGAGGTGTCAAAGACTGGCGGACACTGCGCTCTTTATTCTGCCGCCCTATGCGTGGATATAACTGAGGACGCGCAAGTGCTGAGGCAGGGAGGGAGGTGTCGCAGACGCTGCGCTCTTTATTCTGCCGCCCTATGCGCGGATATAACTGAAGACGCGCGGGTGTCGTGGACCTCAATTCTGCTGCCCTATGCGCGGATATAAGTTAACTGAGGATACGCGGGTGCTGCTGGAGGTGTCGCTGACGCCGCCCTCTCTATTCTATCATCTATACGCGAATATAACTGAGGACGTGGGTGGTGAGGGAGGTGTCACGGACATAACTGAGGACGCAGGTGGTAAGGGAGGTGTCGCAGACGCCGCACTCTCTATACTGCCGCCCTAGGCGGCCGCCTAGGTCGCCTCTATGGACGCGCCGGCCCTGAGCATATGCATAGAGATTCTCAGATGCCCGCAAACAAATAATAATCTCCCGAAAATCATGCTTCTCTAACCCCCTCCCACCCCTGCAAATATGTCGCTTACCCATCTCTTTCCTCACCTGTCTTCGCATACATTGCCGCGAACCCGCCCCCCCCACCCCACCACAACCTCTTCAAATACATCGCGCAATAACCCCCCCACGAGCTCTACGAATACGTCACGTTACTTATACCTTGATTTTGCCAGTCCAGCCCACTTGTGAACAGATTTTCACAAGACAGAAGTGGCCCCTGAGCTAAAATGAGTTTGACACCCCTGATATAGGGCATGTTTTACTCCCTGATTATGAATATATACAGTTGAAGGCAAACATATTCACTCTCCTGTGAACTAGTTATTATTTTTCAAATATCTGAGTAATATAAGTGATATTTAACAGATTAAGGAGATTTTTTTACAGCATTTCCTGTTTTTTATTGTGCAGAAAATCTTATTTCTTTTAGTTTTAGTCAAGAATATTATATAATTATATAATATTATTGTATGTTGATAACTAAGCTTTTAAACTGCGTTTTAAGCTTAATACCACTAACAACTAGAAAAGTAAAGTTCGTAGACGGTGGCATGAGAAAGCCTCGTCTCAAAGTTTGAAGTAGTGTAAATGATTGAAGTAGTTTATTAAAAAGTGAACTACATATATGTGAGCATGTTTCTAGTGTAGATTGGCATGTTTCTTGCTAAGGCATTTCTAGGCAGTTGCTAAGGTGTTCTGATTGGTTGGCAGGATGTTCTAGCTGGTTGCTAGGGTGTTCAAGGTGGTTGCTAAGTTGTTGTTAAGTGGTTGTTAGGGTGTTCTAGGTAGTTACTAAGGTGTCGTTAGGTTGTTGCTAAGGTGTTCTAAATGGTTGCTAGGCAGTTGCTGACAAAAATTAGCAAAGTAGCATTATGCTAGCATGTTTCTAGCAAGAATTAGCATGTTATTAACGTGGTTCTAGTATGAATTGGTATGTTTGTTCGTATGTTTCTAGTATGAATTGGTATGTTGTTAGTATGTTCAATGTAAAGTCAATGGCAGTTTTTTTTACAATGGAAGTTTATTAGACAGTTGCTAAGGTGGCGTAAGTGGTTGCTAGGATGTGGCTAGTAAGTGGAAAGGTCATCAGTGATTGGCAGATTGGTAGTCTGAGTTAAATGAGCCCAACATTAAGTCTGTATGACAGACAGGCGCAAAGTTATGAGGTCACAAAGTTTGGTCCAATGTTAAGTCAATCGGACGTTTAGGTCAGTTTTAAAAAAACCCTTAGTCGGATCATTTGGAAGAGATACACAATGGGGGGAATCTTCTTATCCACCACCAGTGTGCAGCATCCACCTGGATGATGCAACGACGCCAGACCGCACACCACACACCAGCTGATTGGTGGAGAGGAGACAGAGTGATGAAGCCAATTATGATATGACGAGGGTTAGGAGGCCATGATGGACAGAGAACAGTGGGCAGATTTGTCCAGGATAATGGGGTGAAACCTCTACTCTTTTTCCAAGGACATCCTGGGATTATTAATAACCACAGAGAGTCAGGACCACGGTGTAACGTCTCATCTAAAACACTGTGAGAGAAACTCACTGAGACAGTGCTATAGAGTCCCCGTCACTATACTGGGGCATTAGGACCAACACAGACCACAGGTTGAGCGCCCCCTGCTGGCCTCACTAACACCACTTCCGGCAGCAACCTAGCTTCCCCATGTGGTCTCCCATCCAGGTACTGACCAGGCGCAGGCCTGCTTAGCTTCAGTGGGCGACCATGTGAGAGTTGCAGAGAGCGAGCTGCCGGCTGTTGCACTTGATGTGCAAAATGCACCTGAGGCCAAAGTGAAGACTCGACGTCACTTTAAGAGACTGTTTGATATGGATTTATTAATCATTCTTACTGTTCAATAAACGCAAACTGTCATAGTTTATTAAAGACGCAAACCCCTCACTGCACAACAGCTGCACCTACAGCAAACCTCCTAATACCTGCAGCACCTGGACTTTATGATTGTTTATGAGCGTTAACAGTGCTGGATCTGTTCTGCAGAAGATCTGACTGTGTCACTGCATCCCAAACAGCTACAAATAAGACATTCATTCATTCATTCATTCATTCATTCATTCATTCATTCATTCATTCATTCATTCATTGATTCCTTCATTCATTCATTGATTCATTGATTCATTGATTCATTGATTCATTGATTCCTTCATTCATTCATTCATTCATTCATTCATTCATTCATTCTCTGCCTTACTCCCTTTATTGATCAGAGGTTGCCACAGCAGAATGAACCCCCAACTGATCCTGCATATGTTTTACCCAGTGCCCCTAAAAACAATAGTGTATTTTGAAATATCTTTAGTTTTAGTTTAAGGGTTCACTCACATTAGGCTATCTGAGTCATGCCCGGGCATGTTTCCTAGTTCATTTGACAAGTGTAAGTGCTCTGAATTGGGCTCAGACGTGGTTCAGTTGGCCAGCTCTGCCTGGCCTGGTTGGAAGAGGTGTGGTGGAACATGGTTCGGTTGGACTGTGCGCTAGTAGTGTTAGTGCAAAGTGCGGCAGAGCCTGAAACCGAACACAAGACGTCACTTTAAGGGAACACTCACACTATGCTATCTGAACTGTGCCCAGGCCCGTTTCCCGGGTCATTTGAGAAGGGTGAGTGCGCTGAATCAGGCTCAAGCGCGGTTCACTTGGCCGGCTCTGGCCCAGTTGGAAGAAGTGTGCCCGAGATCGGTTCACTTGGGCTTTGGCACAGTACGCTTGTGTGTGAGTGCAAACCACGCCTGAGCTCGAAACTGAAAGCGAGACGTGACTTTTACGAGACTGTTTGATATGGATTTATGAATCATTCTTACTGTTCAATGAACACAAACTGTTGTAGATTATTAAAAGCACTGCACCACAGCTGCACCTTCAGCAGACCTCTTAATTCCTGCAGCACCAGGACTTCATGATTGTTTATGAACGTCATTTTATTTGAGTGTGTGTCACTGCATCCTAAACAAAGAAAATAATGCAAAACCATTGAACTAAAGCAATCTCCACAGTACTGAGCAAGAGCACTTCTCTTCTGTTAAACTGAAGAGTCGCATTATTGATGGCGGAGGCGTGCTCCGGCTCAGAGTGTAAAGATACAGTATGAGCGCAGGCTGTCAGGGGCATGGGCGTGGTAGTGGGGGGGAATGTGGACCTGACTACCCAGGGCCCCGTCTAGGGAGAGGGCCCTTTGAAATCCCACCAATTTTTTTTTTTTTTTTTTTGTAGCCTACTTCGCATTAATTGGCCCCTCCAACTGATGTCAATGTCATTATTTATTTCAAAATATATTGATAACACCCCCCCCCCCCGAAAGGGTTTAGTCCGCCCATAGACGGCAGCCGGCGGCAAACAAGTAACGCAGTGAGTAGAGCCTGATCATGCTGCGCAAAAAGCCCAAATCGGGCTTTCAAAAACAGAAAGACAGGAAGGAAAACGAAAGGAGGCAGAATGAGGGGAAGCAGCTGATGACTGCTATTTTCAAAAGGTGAACTGAGTTTGCTTGTTATGAAACTACATCTAATTAAAGTTAACATAGTCAACTCCAGACAGCTGCTGCTAATGCAGGGCTCGAAATTGCGACTATCTTGGTCGCATATAATGCTGATTTGTGTACAGTCATTACTAGGGAAACCGTAATATTTCAGCGCTCCTAAAGCGCCCCCTTGTGACAGAGAATGAATTTTTATTTCCAATAAATTTTTTCAGCTGTTTATGGTCAAATTATTACGATTATCGATCCATGTGTAAATGTGAAAGAAGTTAATGTGCCTTTTAAAAATCTAAACAATTAAGTAATACTAATATAAGAAATTATGTACTTGATTTATCCCTTTTAATGGTATAAAGGTTGAAATGCCATTGCATTAGATTGAGCACAAGTAGGCCAAATGCATCAATTTGGTGTTGAATGAAAGAACCAGTCATTATTATAATCTGATTTGATTATAGATTAAAACACTATTTGTGCATGTTTATATTCAAATAATTAAAAAAATGTGTAGGGGGCCCACTGACATTGAGAGGGTACAGGGCCCAGAATTTGGTGCTACGCCCCTGGTCAGGGGAGAGGGGAGGCGACTGTACCTAGTGTGAGTACACCCTCAGTTTTGTTTTCATGTACTTTTACGTTAGTTTCTGTGTTTACTCCCTGTTGTCATGGTTTCTGGTTTGTTTTTTTTAATACAGTAGGTTGTCATGGTTACTCATTGTTTGACTGAATGCACTCCTGCTGCTGGTTCAGTTCATTACTTTGGCTTGTATAATTAAAATGAAGAAGAGTTGTAGCTGAAACTGTGCTCACCATACAAAGATGCTAATAAGATTTGTGCAACACTGTTATTATAAAGGTTTTGTAGACTACCTGACAGAAGTCTCGTGGTGGATCTCAGTCATAAGAGCAACACATAATAACTTGACTTCTAGTTGATGTGTAAAAGTGTCAGAAGGTGGATTTCTCTGCTGAATCATCTGTTGATCTGCATCAATCATCACCAATACTGCAGAAGACCTACTGGAACCAGCATGGACCAAGATTCTCACAGAAATCAGTCAAGTTTGGTGAGTTAGACATCATGGTTTGGGGTTCATTAAGTATTCGAGAGATCTGCAGAGTGGATGATCAACATCAACAGCCTGAGGCATCAAGACATTTGTGCTGCCCATTACATTACAAACCACAGGAGAGGGACAATTCTCCAGCAGTACAGCGCTCCTGCTCATACTTCAGCCTCCACATCAAAGCTCCTGAAAGCAGAGAAGGTCAAGCTGCTGCAGGATTGGCCAGCCCAGTCACCAGAGATGAACATTATTGAGCATGAAGATGAAGGAGGAGGCATTAAAGATGAACACAAAGAATCTTGATGATCTCTGGGATCCTGCTGAACGCTTTCTTCTTCATTCCAGATGACTTTATTAATCAGTGATGTGAGTCATGTCAGAGATGTATGGATGCAGTCCTCCAAGCTCATGATGGAGTCAAACACAATATTCATTCTGTCTCCACTGCAGCAGGACTTTATATTCTATACTGGACATTATTTCTGTTCAGTGATGAGACTTTAGTCTGAGCAGAGTCAGAGCGCACTGTCCTGATCAAATCATTAATAATCAAGACATGATCAGATTTTATTGAGCTCAAATAAGCAAAGTTTTGCCTTTCATAGAGACACTTCTGACACCAAATCATCTACTAGAAGACCAGTTATTATTAACTGTTCCTAAAACTTGGATAGGCCACAAGACTTATATCAGTGTATGTGCATTTTCAAAATGTATGCACATCTTGGTGCTTCCAATTAACATTTTTTATGAATAGTTGGATGAAGACGTAGACATTGGTGATTTGTATAATGCAATACTTTGAAAGTCAAAAAAATATATATATGTTATGAATTATTATAATTATGAAGTGAAACGTTTAACGTGTGCAAGAAATGGTACCTTAGTTACATTATACATTATAATCCACAGCCTCTGTAAATAATCCTGAACTCACTCATGAACTGAACTCACACACTGAACTGAGCTAAACTGAACTGAACTGAACTTAAACACTAAAACCTGAACCACACTGTTCCAGTTACTGAACCACACTGTTCCAGTTACTGAACCACACTGTTCCAGTTACTGAACCACACTGTTCCAGTTACTATGACCATTTATGTGAAGCTGCTTTGACACAATCTACATTGTAAAAGCGCTATACAAATAAAGCTGAATTGAATTGAATTAATTGATCATCAGGTATTAATTGTTTCACCTGAAAGTGTTTTTAGACTCTTAAAGTGCCACTACTTGCATTAAATGATTGATTGTGAATCATGTTTCATTCATTCATTTTCCTTCAGTTTAGTCCCTTACTTATCAGCGGTCACCACAGCGGAATGAACCACCAACTACTCCAGCATATGTTTTTCACAGCGGATGCCCTTCCAGCCACAACCCAGTACTGGGAAACACCCATACACACTCATTCACACACTCATACACTATGGTCAATTTAGTTGATCAGTTCCCCTGTAGCGCATGTGACTGTGGGGGAAACTGGAGCACCCGGAGGAAACACACCAACACGGGGAGAACATGCAAACTCCACACAGAAACACCAACTGACCCTGCCGAGACTCAAACCAGTGACCTTGCTATGAAGCCACAGTGTGACACCACTGAGCCACCGTGTCACCCTTTATGTTTTTAGCTTCTTCTTTCCACTGGAGGGAAAAGTCCTCAACATGGAATGAAGTCAACATTTAGATTTAGAGGTGAACTGTTCATTTAAACAACACACACGTCCAGAGATGAACTCAACAATGGGCTTATGAAGCACACATCATGACCTACATTCTGATTTGGCTGTGTTTTAATGTGCGTGTTTGTGTGCATGTGTGGTGTGTAGCAAAGAGAAAGAGAGTTTGTATGTGCAAAAAAGCATGTGCGCGTGTCTTTGTGTGTACGCATGATGTGTGTGCGCATGTAAGTGTGTGTTTCTCTGAGTGTGTGTGTATGTGTGTGTGTGTGTGTGAGTGTGCGTGCGTAAGTGCGTGCGTGCATGTGTGTGTGTTGACCTGTGCAGCCCAGTATGTCGCAGACGCTGATGATGGTGAGGATGCGGCTGGAGGACGCGGCTCTGCTGCTGTGCGCCTGCGGTCTGAAGCTCCTCCGCTTGGGCAGAATCTGCAGCAGCGCCAGGCCGGAGCTCAGAGCGGCGCTGCACACACACATCACCCCGAAGAACAGCGGCTGGAAGCCCACCACCAGCTCCGTGGCGCCGTCGCGGTTCGGGCAGCAGAAGGTCTCGAGGCGCGGAGAGGCCATGATGATGAAGATGAAGAAGAAGATGAAGAAGATGAAGAAAATGAAGATGAAAACAATGCTGAAGATGAAGATGGAGCAGAAGCAGAGCGCAGAAGCTCATTCATTCATTGTGCTGGCCTGAAGTGCGACTGCTGGATCACGAGCTCCATCATCATGTGCTTCGGTTTAATGTGAACAAGAGCTCGAGAATGAGCTGCAGAAACTCACGAGACTCTCCAACTCCAGCACCCTCTCATCACACACACACACACACACACACACACACACACACACACACACACACACACACACACACACACACACACACACACACACACACACACACACACACACACACACACACACACACACACACTGGATAAAAGAGCTTTTCTAATCAATTAAGTTCAATAATTGCTTTATTGGCATAATAAATGATACAAATGTATTGCCAAAGCACTTATAAAGTTTACATTAAATTAAAAGAACAAACATATTTAATAAAAACACAGTAAACACAGTTAACAGTTGTAGTAGTAGTAGTAAAATATATATTCATATAATAATTAAATAAAAAATAATATATCATATTATTCAATATATTACATTATTATTCAATATATCATATCACTCATATCATATTATTCATTTATTAACAATAAAAATATGAATAGATCCCAATAAACTGTACATTTAACGATCAACATTTTAAGATAAAACAGTAAAAACAGCAATAATAATCAGTATATTAACAATGATTGATCTATAATAATCTAGAAGTGTGTGTGTGTGTGTGTGTGTGTGTGTGTGAGAGAGAGAGAGAGAGAGTGTGTGTGTGTGTGTGTGTGTGTGTGTGTGTGTGTGTGTGTGTGTGTGTGTGTGTGTGTGTGTGTTTGCAAGCGGATCATGCTTTTCTAATCATTTGAGGAAAAAATACTGAAGTAATTTATAGTAAAATACTCTGTAGTGTATTTGAAGCATACTTGATTAAAGCACTTGAATCTGTTGTTTTGATTCTATAGTTGCTATGGTAACACAAGAATTACATTAATTGATCTGTTGTTTTTATTCTATTGTTGCTATGGTAACACAACAACTACATTAATTGATCTGTTGTGGTGATTCTATAGTTGCTATGGTAACACAACAACTACATTAATTGATCTGTTGTTTTGATTCTACAGTTGCTATGGTAACACAATAATTACATTAATTTATTTGTTGTTGTGATTCTACAGTTGCTATGGTAACACAACATATACAGCACCGTTTACTGTAGTAAATAAATACACTCAAGCATACTACAGTATATGTTAGAGTTGATCAGTTCACTTTAGTCAATACTACAGTATAGTGGAGCAATGCTGTAATGCAGTGGTTTTCAAACCTTTTTCATCAAGTACCACCTCAGAAAAAATTGTCTTTTCAAGTACCACCACAATGAGCAGTATTGAAATACAGTAGCGTAGTATTGAAATATAGCAGCTACAACTCTGCAAAGTAAAAAAAAAAAAACATGGCAGATTACCTCAGAAATATAGGCTATATGGCATATTATATACATCATTTTTGATCAATTTTAAAATGTGTATAGCATATACATGACATATTTCATTCCTCCGCGTACCACTAGAAGGAAGCCTGCGTACCACTAGTGGTACACGTACCACAGTTTGAGAACCACTGCTGTAATGTATACACTTTACTATGGTTCACAAACACCTCTAACATGTTGCCATGTGTTCAGTCCTGGTTTTCCTACAGGAGTGTGTTTAGTGATCCACTCCTGGTTTTCCACTGATTGAGTTGAATCACACACACACCTGAATCATCAGGTCAGGTGAGGTCAGCATTGCTCTCTCTGCTCTCTGAAGAAAATACACGACCCTGCACACACACACACAGGCGGATTGAGTGTTTGCTGTAATCTGCTGGCATTTCCTTCAGCACACACAATGAAAAACAGATTGAGAGACACTGCTGGAGTCCTGCTGCACTGTGAGTAACACACACACACACACACACACACAAACACCAGACCCATTACAGCCAGCAAACATCACACTTTTGAGGATACATGAACTCTCTGTTTATGTGACAATCCTGGAAAATGAGATTGATCAGTTTCTGCAAATGATGATTAATTTAAAAACTCTCCTGAAATATACTTAATATTGTTTCATACAAATGATGACATCAACACTGATCAGCAGAGCGGCTGCATAGGGCTCCTGTGACCACCATGGGGCCCGAAGAGTACATGAAAGAACTTCTTTATATATGTGATGTTGATGGACAGTGCTGTTTATTCAACATGCATTATTGACTGAAACTGGGCTTTACGATTAAAATAAAGAGTTATTAAATTAACCATCAAATACACTTCACCGAACATGTGTTGTACACATAGACATCAGCATTTTGGTAGCACATTATGTAATGTATAGATGCAGGTTAACCATTTATATTGCTGTCCACAGCTCCTCAACTCTTCTGATTTTAATGTAATGATGTGTAACTTTTGTGAAGTTGCTTTTGTAATTATTGTGAAAGTGTTAAATAAGTACACTTGAATGAACTGATTACAGCTCAGATCAATGTGTTATGTCAAATAGTTTAGTTCTGTGGTTAGTATAGCCCTGGAATAAGTGGGATAATGTACGGCGTTTGCTATTCCAGGATTAAGCTCTACAGGGTTACAGAAAAACACTGGTCTGACGTAAGCAACTCTGCTACAGCAAATACAGTCAGTAATGCAGGGGTTCTCAATGTGTACATTAAAACATCCAAATCTGAATTTTTATTGGGGTCAAAAATCCAGAACAATTGATATTACATGACTTGTGTTTACTAAACATCCATAACATGCAACACTATTTATTTTCTTTAAATGAAGTGGCGTTTGCATTTAAAACACATTAAGAGAAGTTTATTTATAAACTAATGTCGAGAGGATCTCGTGCTTATGATTGCTTGCCGCCGTCCCCGCATTATTCAATTTATGATTCACCAATCAGCAATTCCTAAGCCACTATACATACCCTAGGTTCCATATCACAGCTATCTTCGTTTTGAAGAGCCCCCCTTCCACCCCTACTCCTCCTCCTTTCCTTGATGGGTGGCACGGTGGCCCAGTGGTTAGGCTTTTCCCCCATTTTGTTGTTGTTTTTTTTCCCTTTAATTGCCTCTTAGTAGTTATCTCTTAAGAGCAATCACCAGGGGCAAGTGTAGGACTTTCATTTGAAGGGGGGCTCAGCCCCTTTTAAGGTAAAAAATAAAGTTTATATATATATATATTCATTTAAAGCCTAATATAACATTTATAAGTAGTAACTTAATATGAATAGTAACACTTAAAAATGTTTGTTTAATATGGTAGGGTTGTATACTAGTATTCCACTGTATTACATAGATAGGCATAACCATGATTTCTGAATAGGCCAAATAGGCTCAACCCACCTATTAACTGTAGTACAAATCATTTTTTATAATCAAGTGCATTTTCTATATTCAGTTTTTGTTTTCATGTATTAAATAAATTAACTGCCACTTTTCTAATTAAATAATGTAACCCCACCAGTACTTCGCCACCCAATCCGCTCCAAGGTGGTATCGAACCGGCAACCTTCCGCATGGAAAAAAAACTAAATAATTTATGCATGTAATGTAATGTTTACCAGCAGGTGTCGCTGTAGGATAAAAAAAAAAACACACAAACACACACACACACACACACACACGCACACGCACACGCACACGCACACACACAAATAATTTTTCTCATGTTACAAAATCTCAAGACAAATTAAACAATGTACTTAATAACTATGAACAATATGAAATGTTATTTATGAACTGTCAAATATTATTCAGCAGCACAAGATATTAATTTGATTAGTAAATTCACTAAATGTATTTATTTAATTAATTACAGAATTGTTTTCTGGCTGCCGCTGCATTTGCCACCTTTTTACCAGTGTAAAACCTCAAGCAGAAACTGTGCAATTAAATTAACAACTATAAAATCTAATATTTTTATTAATCAAAGAATTGTAGCTTACATGAGTTTATAGAAGTAATAACATAAGTTTACTGAAGCCTGTATAAATAATATACTTAAACGTGTAGATAATGCATACGTTTCATTGAAGCCTGTATTCTCCATTATTTGATAATAAAACAGAATCTTATTTTACTTGGTTTTAAGTCATGTTCACTGTAATCACCATTTTTCTGGGGTGATTTTTATGTGTTCTTAATTACATAAAATAAATATAATTTTTCTTAAACAACAAAACAATTTAATACTACTACTATAATATAATAATAACATTAATAAAAGCAAAAACAATAATTTTAAAGTACTTTAGTGCTAAATCCTTTATAATTATGTAAAATGAAATCTAATTTATTCTTAACTAATTTAATGTTAACAAATTTACCTTATAAAATTAATTAATGAATTTGAAATTTATTAAAATAAATAACTAATAATATTAATTAATAATTAACGACAGTAATGAATAATAATAATAAATAATAATTAACAACTACAATAATAATTAATAATAACAAATAAAGGGTCGAAAATAAAACAAATAAATGAATAATAAATAACAATAAATAATTAATAACAGTATTTAATAATAAAAACTATAAATAATTAACAACAATAATAATTATTAAATAATAAATTGATAACACTAATTAATAATAATAATAATAATAATAATACATAATTAACAACAATAATAATTAATAATAAATTAATAACAGTGGTTAATAATCATAATATTAATAACAGTAATATTATAATAAATAATTAATAACAATAATACTTAATAATAATATTAATAATAATTATAAATTAACAATATTAACTAATAATATTAATAACAACAACAATAATAATAAATAATATTAATAAATAAATAAATAACAATAATATTAAATAATAACAATGATGATAAATTAATATTAACAATAACAATTATTATTATTATTATTATTATTATTAATCACAATAATAATAAAAAAACATTTTTAATGACTTTACTGTTTAATCCTTTATAATAATGCAAAAAGAAACACAAAAAAATTCAAAAATAAAATTTATCTTATAAAATGCATAACACAGCACTGATATCCTGCAAGTAACAGTAATATGCACAGTATTTATTAAAGCAATAATAAAGCACAACACACTTGATGTATAACAAAACTGTCTTTTAATTGTTCATACATTCATACTTTTATAAAATACTATATATATTAAAATCAAAGCAGAATTAATTACAGTGGCATGATTGAGTTAAGAACTCTACACAACATGTGTGAATATTATAAATTAAACCGTGCTTTATTCTGACAGCGAGTGATAAAATACACCGTTTACACTGCAATAAATACTGCTCTTACGTAAAGTTTTCTATTATTTCTGGTCAAAAACAAGACAAAACTCTCAGTAAGAGATGCATTATTTGCAGTGTGTCTTCATGGGTTTGGTCTGATGGACTGATAACATCCCTGTGTTTCCATCATCTGAGTGTGTGTAAAAGCGGACAGTATAGTCTTCATGATGTCCATAGTTTGTATGCGGTGGTGAAGCTGAGCGCCAGCAGAAACGACAGCAGAAGCAGCAGGACTTTCTGCGTCCACAAACACCAGTCCAGCTTCTGCTCCAGTGCAGCGTTAGTGGCCAGAAGTCTCATCAACTGCAGGATAAACACACACACACACACACACACACAAAGTATATCACTCATGCTCTCTGCATTCAGCAATACAGCACAACAAAACCATCAACGGCAATATTAACTCTGTCCCTGCCAGTGTTTTGTACCCACTTAAAGGAGTCCTTGGTCACACTTTAATTTGATGGTCCGCTTGTTGATTTAAGTTACACTGCATCTACATGTCAACTAATTGACCCTTCGCTAAGCCACACCCAAAAACCGCCACCCACCAATCCAGATATGGAAACTTTTTAAAGCACTGGCAAGCAAAAAAAAGTGTGTATATATATACACACACACATACACACACACATATATATATATATACATATATATATATATATATATATATATATATATATATATATATATATATATATATATATATATATATATGTATATATATAGAAGTGTGTGTGTGTGTGTGTAGATTGTGTGTGTGTGTGTGTGTGTGTGTGTGTGTGTGTGTGGGGGTGTGTGGGGGTGGGTGGGGGTGGGGGTGG